CACACACACACACACACACACACACACACACACACACACACACACACACACACACACACACACACATAGAAGAAGAAAACAGCAGAGGGAGGAGAAGAAGACGAAGACGAGGAAGAGGAAGAGGAAGAAGAGGAAGAGGAAGAGGAAGAAGAGGAAGAAGAAGAAGACGACGAAGAAGAAGGAATGGAGTTGGAGGAGATAATCAGGGGAAGAGGAGAAGAAGAAGAATCCTCTCTGCCTCTCTCTCTCTTGGAGCCAGATACTGACCAGCGTAAAGGTGTCGCCTTGGAGCTGTACTGCAGGTGAGAGCACTCTGGCAAAGACTCACCTGGCCTCCGCCCTGATCTCCTCTCTCTACTACCTCTTGCCTACTCCGCTAACAATCCAGCACTGCTCCAGCAGCGTGGTACCTCAAGTCCGGAATGTTGCATGCCACAAATGCGGGTGGCCCAGCTATATATAGCGCTGGGCCTGGTGAATGCAGCTGGGTCTGTGTGGCATACTGTGCAGCCACACGGGCCTGCAGGGCCCGACCAGCGTTCCCAGCCTAAAAGCCACTTTCAGGCCCGTGACGTTTTCAGGCCAAAAGCCTGAAACAAGGGCCTACAGGCCCCGTGTTGTTTCAGCCTGAAAGCCTGAAAACAAGGGCCTACAGGCCCTGTGTCGTTTCAGGCTAAAACAGGGCCTTTTCGGCCCTGAGTCTTTTCAGCCTGAAACTGAGAGCCATTTTCAGGCCCTCATCAGTTCGACCCGCCCTGAAACTCAGGCAACGAACCAGGGTTTTAGCACAGGCCAGTTTGGGCCTGTTTTCAAGTCAACCCCTGGTTGAGCTTCAACACCAGGGTCTGGCACGTTTCGGCACTGGCAAGAGCAGCCTCCTGGACGGGCCAGCACTAAATAGGACTGGCCCGCCATGCAGGCCGGCAGGTAGTTCATAGGGACTTCCCAGGCACTTCACGTGCAGTTCAGGAGGCAGGAGGTAGTCTTCAGGATTCGGCAGCAGCACTCTGCAGGAGCGCTGCAGGACTAGTACTAGCGTTAGCAGTAGTCTTCAGCGCTGGGTGCTAGTAGGAGCTAGAGTAGCATTGGAGACAGAGAGAGAGATGGTTGGCGGAGGCCAGGGAGACTTACCTGTGGCGCCATAGCTCCAGCTTCGTCTTCGATGTACCTGCAACAAGGCGCCACCTTGTTAGAACCGCACTGAGAGAGAGAGAGAGAGAGAGAGAGAGAGAGAGAGAGAGAGAGAGAGAGAGAGAGAGAGAGAGAGAGTTCCGTCTTCTTCCTCTTCTAAGTCCATCTCTTCCTCACCCTCTCGCTACCTGACTCAGTATCTGCAGACTACGAGAGAGAGATTGGTGACTTTGGGACTTGACGACATTTGGATCCAGACTCAACATTGGGATTCAGACATTTGACGAGGGATTATTTGGGACCTGTGCSGAAGACTTGGTGTTGACGACATTCCCATCTTGCCCTCTTCTTCGTCTAACCCCCCTCTTCTTCATCTGTGTATGGTTGGGGACTGGCGCATTCTTCCTGTGTGAGCGCCAGGCCCCTTTGCACCATGGAATGATGATGTATATTTGGTCTGCATTGCAACATTGATTGGGCTGATCATTGGTATTTTAGCCTTTCTGCTGCGCTATCTTGTACTATGTGAGAGAGGTCGGTCTGTACCATTACGGCATGCGACAGTCTGCCTCCTGGGCTGTCTGATCGTGATGCCGATCGACGGTCCAGGATGCGGGCCCAAAACCTGGTCCTGAGTCGCGGCCTCAAAATGGCCTGCCTGGGTCCCAACCGGATGTCCAGGCTGCTTTTGCTGAACCGGAAGAGGTGACCTCACAAGAGGACGAAACAGGGGCTGGACCCTTAACATGGTTCAGCCCCAAACAAAGTGCTCCAGGCCCGAAAAATGGCCTCTGGGCATGAAACGGCCCACCTGGTCCAGAGGACTACCGTTCTGGACAAAAATGCTGAAAGGACACATCTAGATCGGACATTATTGAAACTGACAAACAAGATCAGAACAGACCAACGACTGAGAAAAACAATAAAAAAAGAACTCACGAAAGTGCAGACGAACCCCGAAAATTAACAGAAAAGCCCCAAACGCACAGCCCATGCCCCCTACATCAATGTTGTGCCCTGAAGGGGGCCGTGTGGGAGCCGTGCATATGACATCCCAGTGGCAAAGAGGAATGGATTAGGCGCCTGAATCTGGATGTGTTCTGTGGAGAGATGCAGAATAGCAGACCGATTACAATTTTCTGTACCTCTCCACACGCGTCCAGATTCGGGCATTAAATCTAATCCTGTATGCCAGTGGGACCTTGCCCTTACAATTTGACCTTGAAGGATGGGGAATCCAGGAGTACGCCGCTAAGCTGTTACTGCATCTGGCCCTGTGGTTATGGGGAAGCTTTTTGTGAAGGTGGCAAATGTTGTGTTTGTTGTTCTTCACATCTGAAGGAGACTATCAGTGAAGGCGGCCAATGTTGTTTTTGTTGTTGGTCACGTGGATGCAGATAACGAGGAGAAGTTCTGAGAATGGCTTCTTTACAATCATCGGTATGTTGGCAAGCTTACCCTGGACTGGGCAGAGTTTCCCGTGCAAGTGCCCACTGTCCCAGGCACAGGATCAGGAACGAAAGAAGCCAGCAACATCACTTTATCACCTTTACGGAAGCGGGGAGTCTGTGTGTGGTACTTTTGGACAGATGGGCCTCTCCTGCCTTTCCTAATACGTGCTCAGGTCTCTAATTAGTCGATTGAGAGGGCCCTGAGGTTCTCATCCTTGCCCTGAGGTTCTTATCCTTGTTTCCACTTTGATGACTGTCCTCATATTAAATAGGTAGTCTGGAAGACTGGACGCGATTTTCATCCTCTATGCTACACACAACTTCACAACTTGACATATGGATTTAGCTAAAGTTCTACCTCAGGAAAGTCATCCAGGGGGATGGAAAAAGGGGGTGTCATGGCTGTCTGGTGTGTGGTTTGGTTGTGTTGGGTGAAGCAGACAGGTGAGATTGTTTCCTAGCTGTATCTTTGACTGCGGGGAAGGGAGGCTGAGCAATTGGGGCGAGTGTAAGGACAGTAGGTGTTTTGTATTCTCGGCTCTTTCACACATATGGTGTTCAGATGTGCAATATTGATGGAGAGGTACGGCAGAGTGTCTAGTCATAGCTGTACTCGGGGCAGCTTCCAGTCCAGATGCAACAATAATGACTGGGCGTTCTATTCGGGTGAAGACATTGGTGTCTTTGGTGACCTTTGTCTGACTTCACTTGAGCCCTGGGAGAGCTACTTCGAGTAAGGGTCTGGTTAATTGTCGTCCCCAGCAGACGCAAGTCTGTCATAGTTGTCTGCATTCCCAATTCTTCACAGGCAAACTCCCTTGGAAACTGAATTCAATCACTTTTCAAACGTTAGTATACCTCGTGAGGGTGGGTGGTTGTTCTGGAAGTCGACCTGAAACTCAGGGCATCATGGAGGAATTGCCGCAGACGATTCCTTCCAAGACGGAGCTCTTAATGAGAGCAGAGAAATTGTGCTATGCTGAGCGCATGGCCCTTGCAGGTCAAATTGGAAAGACCCATCAGGGTTCAGAAGCAGTTGCATCACTCATAAAAGAGCTGACATGTGCGAGCATTCAACCATCGCCAGCTGTGGGCATCAAGAGCTTGAGTGGCAACAGTTCCTCCTTACTGACAGGCTCTGGCGAGACTACAGTTGCGGAGAACTACATGTGCCATCACCTGGGACTGGTCATGGCTTCGTCATACCGGCAATCTTTACCCTCACGACGCAGTCAATTGACCATGGCAGCTCCGCCATCATCATTGGCACCGGGGGAAAGTTCTTCCATCTCTTCGAGCCCTAATGTTGGCATCGGAGAGGAGGTGCTGGAACGGCAGTGGAACTGCCGGTCGTTGCTTTTCAAGGACCTTGCAGCGAAAGAAGTTGTCAGGCAAACTGTGGATGATGAATTGTTGCTGGAAAAGCTGACGCAGGCCTCAGCAAAAATGTGTCGAAAGCTTGTTAATGCATGCGCGAGGCAACGCCGAGTGGCAGTGCTTGAGAGCTACTGTGACAAGCTCCGTGAAGCAGGGAATGACGCCGAGGTTGTGCGCATCTTGCATTCTTGCAGCAGTGGCTATGTTCGCGAACATCTGCCTGCAGGCGACTGGACGGAAAGAATGGCAAAATTTCATGGAGAATTCCTACTTGACCTTTTGAGGGACAAGCTTCTGGCCACTGCTGGTGACAAAAATGCGCAGAGGGAAGTGTGGAGTTCCTGGGTCTCCAAAATACAGAGCTTGCACAGTTTGCTTTCGGCTGGCGATTCACGACAACGGTGCAAGAAGTTTGCCGAGGTTCTTATCGAGTTTTCTCCCTCTGAAAATACTAGAATGGATCAGGTTTTTCAGTGTCTCAAGATGCTATTCGCACAGTCTGAAAAGGAAATGGAGGTATTCCTGACAAAGTATGGCCCAAAAAACATAGATGGATGGGATGTTAGGTGCATATCAGAAACAGATTGGCACGCATCTGGGTTGATCAGGCGAAGGTTTGATCTATACATAGACCAGCTGCGAAGGTCTGCGGAAATGACGACTGCTGCAACATTCTGGTTGCATATACGTCCACAAGGTGACTGGAGAGAAAATGAATTTTCCAATTGGTATCAGCTATTTTCTGGACACTTGAAGGCCTTTAATCCACTGAGTATTCAACTGAATGGCCTGACATCCAACCAGATGAATGAAGTAGTGTGGGTGGTCAGGCAGTTCATGGAATCGATCAAGCCTTCCAAGGAGAACTGGGAGAAATGGAGCAAGGGCGCATCCGACATGGCTCCTGGACGGTTGTCTGTTGCGCCGATGTGGGAGAGCGATGTGTTTTTTTTCCATGATTTTCTGAGAGAGACATTGTTAGAGTTGTTTGAGTGGCCAATGCACGAAAAGAAACGTTGCGATTGGCCCACAAGGTCGGTCGTGAAGACATGGCAGGCCATGGAGAAAGTGTGGGTATCTCACTGGGACTTCCTGATGGATGGGATGTTTGCAGATGGGAGTATGCGCTTGTGTCAAAATCCCAGGTGGTCAGTGCTTGCCTCAGATCGTCTGTGGAACATGGTGGTGAGGTTTTCCCCTCAGCGCATCGGTATGTTCTTTGATCGCCTAGAGACCTTCCTTGACCAACGGTGGGCCCACGCACGGGAACTGCATATCAATGCAGATCCTGTGATCAGTCAGGTCTATGAGGGCTTCTGCTCTGCTTGGCTGAATTGGTACCCTACTCGGGATTGCTGGCATCCTGCAACTCGGTATTGCTGGCATCCTGCACAATGTTACAATGATGATGATAAGAACACACTCCCCACTGATCTTCAGGCGGAGACACAGGCCGTGTGTGACAGAATTGTTTCCCACTGGTGGCAGCACCACATGATGCCAGGTCTTGCGAAGGGACAGTGGAATGTAAAGTCAGAAAAGGTCGTGGTGAAGCTTTTTGCTTTGGGGTCACCAGATGTGAGGAGCGAGCTGATTGGGAAAGCATTCCTTGGGGGCTCCATAGTGGAGGAATCCCCCTTCAGATCTTCTCATTCTTCCTTGCCTCTGGAGGTAACAGGGAAGCACACCACTTGGAATGAGACTTGTCATGAGGACGTCATACCGTTGCTGGAATCGTTGCTGTGTACAGATCCTCGGCCGGCCAAGGAAATTGACTACGACAGCTCGCTATCAGGCACTGATACTGATTATCTTTATACAAAGCAATGGCCTCTTCTCCTCCGATTGGTTTGCCTGCTGCCCAACCAGGCACGTGGGAGGGTTGCTACAATGTTGCGGGAAAGCCAACAGGTGCAGAGCCAGTTTCTGCGCTATGTGATGTCAATTACTGACCTTACAAAGCTGAAAGAGCAAGATGAAATGATCAAACAATGCTCATTGCCTAGCCCTTCTGAGCGTCAGGAGGTTGCGGCAGCATTGTATGCTGCCAGTCTACGCACAGCTACGCATATTGAACTTGAGCGTACCATCCAGTTGCTTGTCCAGAAGGTTAGGAGTGCGGTGTCTGAAGAACAGGACTCCTACTTCGACGTGCTTTTTAGTCACAGGGACAAATATCTGGAGCTCTGCATTTCTTCGAATTCATGGTTCATGTCAGGATCCAGCGAAGAACAGGTTCTTCCAGGGATGAACACTTGCCAGGATGAACAGCGATTTGTGCAGTCAGGGCAGCAAACAGCAGTCAAGTCACTGGGAAACAGGGACTTTGCAGAAGGTCAGAAGACCCTGTGGTTGCAGCTTTTGCAGGACGTTTGTGCTTCCTCGCAAGCCAGATGGGCACCTAGTAGGATGGATTCTTGCTCTGACTTTGCAGAAGATGTGTTGACTCGGGTTGCTCAGTCCTGGAAGGGCAGTGAGTCGCAAAGCGAGGTGTGTTTGCCATACCCAGCACCTGCATGCTCTTGGTGGGACCTGGGTGTAGAGATGCAGTGGCGAATACATGTCCAAAAGCTCGGGTCAGGTGAACTGGCTCGATCGTCCTTCATCATTGCTTTGGATTGGCCGAGCTTTGATTGGGTGAGTCGGTCACATGAGAATTATGCCACTTGGGAAGCAAGAGAGATGTGGGTGCAGCGATGCAGACAGTTGTGTGATGCTCTGTATTTCTCATACGAAAGGTTGTTTCACAGTACTGGTGGCAACCGTGTGGGGGTAGTGGGCTGCCAGCAGTTAGATGCTATGGTGGATGCATGTGGAGCATTGTGGACCGAGGTTCCCCGCCTGGTTGGAGTCCTGAAAGAAAAGCTTGCTCTTCTGCATTGTGGGCATGGTGGCATGGAGGAAGGGACAGGTGAAGTGAAGGAAATCAGGGAGCTGTTCAAGAAACTTCTCGACAATCATTCCCGTGGTCCAGGTGCATCTATGCAGAAGCCTCGAAGGAAGCGTCAGGGAGGGCGACAAGCGAAGACACGCAGACCTCTCCATAGGAGCCGACAACCCTGGTATGCTGTAAGTGTGCTGCGTGAATTTGTGAATGGTGAACTCCAAGAGCGCACTGCAGGCAGGGCATTCGACGTTGTTTTCATGTGGTATGTCGACAGAGTATTGGGCTCTCAGAGGAATGGATTGAGTAAGGTGGCTGCAAAACGAGAGGCTGTGACGTGGCTCATAAGCGAATGTGCTTCTGCAATACACCTCCGCTTCGTTCAGCAGTTCATGTTGCACTATGCTCAGGATATGCTAACTCCATTCCTGCAAGGGAAGGAGTTGTTTGAGGGACGGTTCTATATTGACCCATGGGATGAACCAGAATATGGTGAACCCCAGAGGCTAGCTAGCGAGAGGTCCGTGGATGGTAATGTGATGAATAAACAATTTATTATCAAGGCAACAAGCAATCTGCATCGACTTAGTACGGCACAATGCAACATGCTGCTGGAGCAGCTGGGCCATGAGTGCGCTGATGTGTGTGTGCCGCTAAGCCGACGAAGTCAGTGCGCACAGCGTATAACGTACTTGCCTGTTTTCTCACCATCTTGCCTGATGTCTGTCCTTGCGAGATGGGGAGGTGCGGAACTGGATGCAGAAGCAGCCACTCTGCAGACTGACACCTCCAGCCACTACCTCTCTGATGAAAGTGATTATGTGATGTGCCCTTCAGACATCTCTGAATTATCTGAGAGTATAAAGGAGATGGACTTGGAGATGCCCACTGTGGATCGAGTAACAGCTGAGTCAGAAGCATCGTTGGCTTCCCCTCACTTTGTGGACTATGCACCGAGCCTGCCTGCGGCAGTGCTTCTGGAGTTGTTTAAGGGCCTCAAACGAGTACACGAGCCATTGGCCTCACTCCCGCTTGCAGCAGCAGAGCCTGTTGTTGCTGCATTTCCGGTGGAAGTGAGTTTGCCTCTTATTTGGATCTGTATGCCTCTCTACCCGATGGATGCGATCTGGAAAACAATTGATCAGCTGGCGACAGTCGCATGCAAGAATAGGATGAGGATGGTCACAATTATGAAAGACATTGTTCGACTAGCAATCTGCAGCTTGCAGCAGCCAGTGCTTACAGCTGGAGGGCACGATGAGCAGGCAATCAGACTCAGATCCCTTTCTCTACTCAAAAGGCTGTGGTACGGTAAAGTCACTCATTGTGATGTTCTGTTCGTCATCTTGCGAGAAGTTGCTGGTCTTGCAGTTCAGCCAAACACAAGCCCTGAAGTTCTGAAAGTTGTGTGGGGTATTTTGAGGTCGAGCCTGACGCGCTGCCGCAGCAAGAGGGAAGTGCTTGCTGCACTCATGCTAGGCATACCGGAGCCTTTTTTGAAGTCCGCACTCCACCGCACATATACTAAGGAGGATTTCCGACGTCTGGGAACACAAGTAAATGCGTTCTGCGATTTTTTGTCAACAAAGAAGGAGTTCAGCATCCCCACAGAGATGTGTAGGCAGTACTTTGAGACCGCCATAGCCCCCATCTGCGAGCATTCCAGGATAAGCGCGGAGGAACGAGGTCTTAACAAAGCTCCTTCACCATTTGATTGGGTCATTCATGCTTATGCTGTTACGTCTCTGGGAATGTGGGCTGATGTGATTCTTCATGACCTGGGGATTGAACCCCAGGTGACTCAGTTAGCGAAACAAGTGGCTTTGGACCTTTCCATAGCATTTGTTCTCCATCCAAATATAGAGTTTCGGAAAATGAACTGGTTTATGCAGTGTTGCTGCATCGGTGTGTTACAGCAAGGAGGTGGGTTGACTTCTCGCCGTCCTCCCATTGAAAACCACACAGCCTCCACTGCCAGCGTATCGAGGTCTCCTGATAATCAGCACCTGAAAGAAGCCCTCTCTGTGTATCTTTCACTGTTCCAATCGGACGGCAATAGCCACGATGACCACCATCGTCATGCCCTTTTAGAAGCATGGAGTCTGGAGTGGCATGGATTTGCGCCATCCAGTCCATTGCCATTGTGGATACAGCGTGTTATGAAAGAGCACATGGTCAACTTGTCTTTTGTGTTGATCAACACACATCATGAACAAATTTTGGAGTATGGAACAAGGGTTGACGATTGGACCATTGCGCACTGGGAGGCCCTCTGTGGGGTGGCATTGGTGGCCGAAAGGCTTGCTGGTGAGCAGCTATTTCTCCAAGAGATCTGGTCCATTCGAATCACTTCTTTAGTTCGTGCAGTTTTGGGAGCCATCAAGAGTGACAATAGCTTGGAGGGGCTTGATTTGTTGAAGGAAAAGATGACGGAGTGTTTGCTAATCCATGAAAGACTGGGTTGTCCCATGTCAGGTAAACAGGTCGTCGAGTTCCTATACGGAGCACATTGCGATGTTGATTTGTTTTATGAAGAAAATATGAGCACACTTCTGCAGTGGGCAGTTGTGGATGCTATACTCGGTTGCGATCTGCCACTCGGCTTCATGGGAAGGTGCAACCGGCTGCAGTTATGTTTGCAATTCTTGACCATGAACCTGAACACCCACGGACTCATGTTGGTACCTGATGCCCTCCGCAATGACCTGACAAGTCGCATAAAGACTGGAAAGCATAGAATTCTGAAGGTGATAGCGGATTTGCTCCACAGCTGCGCCGAGGACAGTGCTGGAGAACAGCAAGGACTGGCTGTGGCGGACTCGCACGAAAGACAGGTCACGACAGTAGCAGTAGCTGATTTAATGGAGCGCTGGGAGCTCGTAAAGGGATGCCTGCAGCTGTTGGCCAATCAGTATAACCTGTTCTTTCCAGGCAAAGACGACATAGCACTGGGCAATGTTGTTGATGGGATAGTGACGTTGCTGCAGCAGTGGAGGGGGCGTACGCAGCTCAAGGGATCCGTAGTTGCAATCATAAAAATACTGATAGCAATACTGGAAAAGGCATCCCTGCACGCATCGACTGTTAACGTGCCGGCAGTCCTTAGTGTGTGGCTGTCGAAGTTCATGGGAACCTGGAAATCTGCTGAGCAAGTTACAATGGAGTGTTCAAATTCTGAGGCCGATGGCAGCAACGGTGTTCTAGACTTGTGTGAGCTCATTGTGATGAACTTGATTGCAGACGCACCGGACCTGGTTGCGAGCATTCTCACAAATGCTTCGGAGTTCTCACTCCTTGGCCTGTGTGCTGTTCGAGCTGCGTGCTGTGGGACTCGTGAGGATATTGACTTCGAGCAGGTAACTTCCTGTGGAACAGATGCGACAGAGGCCTGCGGAACAGATGCGACAGAGTCCTGCGGAACAGATGCGACAGAGGGAGTTGTTGACTTGTACTCCGCCTGGTGCAAGAAACCGATGATGATCCCTTCTTCTTCGGAATTCTCTTCCAAACCTGCTGACGATCCCAGGTTGGGCACTGTCAGTGGAAGAATCCAGGAAATACAGGAATCGTTCCTGGTTCTCATGTCCCAGGTGGAGACTGATGTGCATTTGTTGTTGAAGAGTGTGGATGTCAGTGATCGACACTTTGCAGTCACGCACGGGGTAGATAGGTCACAGACAACAGTCAGTCTGCGGAAACGATCCAGAGGCGAAACCGGGGAGGACAAGGAGAGACAGCCACAAACCATTGGGGAAAGGAGACAACTGGTAATGCGAACACAGGAGAAGTACTGGAAAACTGCGTTGCATATTTTAGCTAAGCATACGCAGTACCTTTTCACCCCAAGCACGGCGAAGCGAACCATCCAGTTTACGAAAAAGGCGTTGGCAATGCAGGCTTGCTTTCCTCTCAAGGACTGGCAAAGGGCAGGGTGCTCAAAGTGGACAGAACTGAATGTGGTTGTGAGTGCCCTGGATATACTGGAGAGTGTCTATGCCAGTGACAAGAAGGATGGTGACGATGATGCCAAACTGTCGCTGAAAAATGGGACGTTGGAAGCTCTGGCCGCATTCATCGGGCCTTTTGGCGGAAATGGCGATGCAAGGAGAGTGACTTTCGAAGACAGCGAAGAGACCGTTGTTGATGACCCTTATGGTTCTTTGACGGAGGATCACGCGGTCAACTTCAGGCAGCTATGCTTATACGTTGGCTTTCAACTATTGAAGTCTACTGGCCCTCACTATTTACACAGACAGACCTGGAGCATTGGAGATCAGAGGAGCGGCATGGAGAGAGACACAAACAGCAGTTGGAGCGGACGTGGAACATTCCAAGTGTGGGAGCCGGAGTTTGTTGCAGCCTTAGATGCTATCAGCTTGCAGAAGATTGATCTCAAACTAGTGGCTGAGACACACTCCTTACGGGTCGTTGACACTTGGGCACTGTTCAGAGGAGGCATACCCGACATAGTGTCACAAAGCTAGAGTAGTATAAGGAAAAAAAGATTCTTCGACCACCGGGCAAGCAATGAAAAACCATCCCTGCTCACTTGCTCGGGGCGGGGATGGGAGGAACACACACACAAGTTTGGCTGGGTCTGCCAAACAACCTGGCAGGCAATGAAACACCATCCATGCTCACTTTCCTGGTAGGGATGGAGGAGGAACACACAATTTTTGGCTGCTTCACTAAGAGAAATGAACTTCCAACTCTAAGGCGTTTCCAGCATATAGCGAAGTGATTGAACTCTCATGTTGCCATGAGAGGGACCCATCTTGAGCCCACACAATAAATCCAAGAACTCCAATACTTATCATAGATAGGGGTCGGGAGTTGTGTTTTGTTCCGAGCGTGAACGCACGCATGGTTATGCAAGGCGTGGATGCCGCGCACAGCCAGACATTCCAATTTTTGGCTGCTTCAATAAGAGAAATCTTTTTTTTTTTTTTTTTTTTTTTGTTAATGATCTTGACATCTGGATGTCTGGACAAAGTGGACCCAGACTAACCGGGTAGGGGCGCCCAGGCGCAAAAAGGTCTGCATGCCGAAATTAGGGGTTTCGTGGAACCAAAAGGGAGAGGGAAGAGACTCAACAGAAGACTGATGCCCCTGCTGCTCTGGACGGTTTTGAACGTGTATAGAAACAATTGAGAAATAGCTGGTAGGACAGGAGGATGCATGGAAGGACTTTCTACAAACGCTGGACACGGAGTGGCATACAGATTGGCTTAGCCTCAGAAGACTCAGAAGGCAGATCAGGGAGAACATGGAAAAGAAGCAGGAGTTCACAGCCTACCTAGCTCAGTTGGTATGCCCCTAAACTGATGAAATACAAACCCGAGTTCGAACTCCAGTGGAAATAAGTGAGTAGAATACTACAGTGCTGAGTACTGAGTATATCATCAGTTGCGTGATAATATCTCAAGGCCGTAGCCCTTTTATAAAAAGAGGGAAAGAGAGGAAGAAAAAAAGGAGGAAGAAAAGGAAGAAAAAAAACCGTGAGGGACATTCTGGGAGAGGGAAAGGTCGGGAAGCTGGAGGGGAAACACAATCAGGCTGGGATAGAGGACTCTTGGGGGGGGGAAGGGTTAAACCAAGAACTTGATAGGGACGGACCGGCCGACGCTCAGCACATCAAGAAAAATGAGGGCATTAGCCTTGCTTCAGTGTAGACAGCAGTCGTAAGATCGTAGAAATATGTGTATAGCAGTGGACAATGGAGAAGGCTTTTAAGTTTTAACCCCCTGCCTCATGGTTTTGCCTGTGTGCAAACTGGCTTGGGAGCAGCTGGTGCCCTGTGCAGGGCTAGGGCCCCTTTAAGAGCTTGATTGGACGAAGTGCTCGGGGCCAATGGCATTCACAGATTCCGCAGCAGGTCACGTCTGAAAACCAGTATGGGACGCTGGACCAGGTTTCCAGCTAGTCCTGAAATGGGTTATGGCCCCAGCTCTCCGGGTTTGTTTGTGGATGGATTCCTGGCCTCCCCTTTTGCTTCTATAGTAAAAAGGTGGATTTTTAAGGGGGAAAGAAAAGGCGTTCATCATGCTGTCCCTACAGCAAGTATGATATAAGAACGAAGAAAAGACCGCCTTTTGGCAGAAGACTTGGGGCTGGTTATCTTGTGGAGGATCGGCAGAAGTTGTGGGTAACGTGTGAACATTCCAAGTAACTTCGGCAATGTCTGCAAACATTAAAGCCGTTTTATGAGGCCGGCGGCAACTTGTGGAGCAATGCGCCGCAACTTATGTTGGGTACAATGGGCACATTGCTGATGCACCTTACCTTCTAGGCTTCTACCCAATGGAGCATATGTTTACGAGAAATTTTGAGTTGCTGTTATGTGGAATATTTGGAAATACAAAATTGAAGGAGTTCTTGGGAGTAAAAAATAATAAAACAAACTGCATGCAGATAGATAGATAGATAGATAGAGATGGAGAGAGAGAGAGAGAGAGAGAGAGAGAGAGAGAGAGAGAGAGAGTTTTGGCTTTGCTAGGGATTCTTGATAATGTCCTGCACACTGTCACTTAACTTAGGAGGAGGAAGATTAAGAACAGTTTTTCAAAGATAAGCTTTTCCGTTTTTAAAGATCATCTTTTAGATTTGTTTAATTAAAAACTTGTAAGCTTTCTATTCTGGGGAGCGTCAGCCCGGTTCCTATTCCACCGGCGAGTCAGAATACACATTACATTACAACGGAAACGCACACTTCCTTCCGTTTGGCCGAAGGACCCCTGAGCAGCATCGATTACTCCACCAATGGTGGTGGAGGATTGACTGTCAGCTTGCCGTGTCTCACTCTTTCCTTTCAGACCTGAAAACCAGTTCTGCCAAATAGTTCTAAGTCACCTAGAGGGGGCTCACCCCATAGTTTCTGCATACCTGAGTATTCCCAACTCATCTGCCCTGCCCGAGCGTCTTGGTATCCCCTATCCCATTAAGCCTATCCCTTTCTTTTAAGCGCTATTAAAACCCTACAAGGCCCTAAACCCTCAACCTGTAGAACTTCCTGTCCCTTCTGGTCTGGTTCTGTTGCCTTTGCGTGGTATAGGACCCTGAATCCTTGTACAAGGCCCTGCTCAAAAAAAAAAAAAAAAAAAAAAAAAAAAAAAAAAAAAAAAAAAAAAAAAAAAAAAAAAAAAACCCTTGTAAGCTACTAAGTTTTGAAATTCCTATTTTGTAGAGCCCACACCAACCTAACAGGATCACCGCACCACTTGCCAAACGCCAACAGGTTGAATGTATCTGTATTGGATCGCAATTCTTTAGATTCAGATTGTTGGCATTTGCCGGGTGGTGTGGCGGGATCATAATTCAGCTGCTTGACTCGCCATTCACAAAAGCTTTTTTTGACCTGTTGTCCATGGATTGCAGGAATTTTACTTTTTTATTTTGAATGGTGCTGAAACCTTCATAGTATCGAGGTCTGGGTCACTCTTTCATTGCCTATCACCCACCTCATGCAGCCTGATTGGTGAAATACATCTCCTGGAGCTAATCCCCTTAAGTAGTTTGTCAATTGCACCCTTGTGTTGTATTCGAACAGGGAGTGTGCAGACTGCACCCTTGGACTGTATTAGTGCAAGGGGTGAGCAGACTGCCCCTCCCCCTGTGCTGTACATGAACAGGACTTGCATAGGGCCGAACCCTGTGTTCTATTCGAACAGGGGATAGCCAAAGCTGCCCCCCGTGTAGTATCTGGATGGGCAGAAACTGAATTAGGATCCCTTGCGTAGTAGTCAGATAGGCAGTGTTTGGATCAAAACCCTCATGCGGTAATTAAATGGGTGAGGGTAAGACTGTTTTTAGTGCTTCACTCAAATGTGGAATGAAGTAAATGATGCCTCAATGATCAATTTGAGCACTCAATACCAGGATGTTACTCCCGTGGAGCAGATCAGTAATTAGAAGTTAAACGAAATCCTTGCAAAGTCCGCATATATGCAAAGACAGTTAGTGTGTCTGTGCCTAGGAGAGGAAAGGACATGGACATGCAACGTGTGTGTCATGCTTCTACACAGATGGCCAGATCAAACACGTCATAAGCAGTTCTCACTCAAAAAGGTGGACAATGCACAGAGTGGGTGGTTTATACACAGAAAATTGATGTAACTAAGAGGGCAGATCAGACCCGGGGAAAACTGATCTTCCTTCAGCTATAACTCGGGATTTGGAGACTTTGCAAAACAGTTCTAATATGACGAGCGGTTTTCACTCCCACTTTCAGTAAAACACTCTCTCAACTCAGATCTCTGCTGGCTTATCTCCAGACAGTCTTACTTTGGTGAAATTCAGTGCAGATTGGATGTGGATCTTAGGGGAGTGACATATTTAGAAAGAGAACGGTGAAATCGGTGAATGGTCAGAATGCTACAGACCTAATGAAAACTTAGGAAGAAGTAGGTCTGCGAGATCTGAGAGAATGACAGATTCAGGGAGACCTCAGAAACAGTATAATATGTGATATCTCAGAGAAAGCCGAGCTGTGTAAAAACTCAGAAAACCAATGTGTGCAGCGAGACTCGGAAAATACTAAAGTTTTGTGAGGTCTCAGAGCATTTTCAACAAAAAATTGGTATCGTTCTAGCAGAAAGAGCAGGGCCGCCTCACATGTCACGCATGCCACTTGAACTATGGTAAATGTTTCATGGCAGTCATGAAAAGGCTCCATTATTATCAGTAAGCCTAAATATTTTGTGGGAAAGTTCTCATCAGGAGTTTCTACTGCAAGTAGCCATTCAAAAGTTGCCTCAGTTTCCGCACAGGTTTTTGACTCCGTGATGGATTAGCGGCAATAACTATTGATTGGTGACAGCAATCAAAGATCGGATAGTATATCATTAGAGGGAACTTCAATACTAAGAGTTTGACCGTTCAGATTTTTAATTTATCAAGGTTTAGACATAATAACAAATAATCGTGCGCGCATGATTATATCGCATGTGCGGTTTCCGATTCACGGTCACATGCTTGTTGCACCCTTGTGCAATATTTGAGCAGGGAGTGCACAGGCTGCACCCCTGTGCATTATTCAAACACGGGAAGCGCATGCTACACACCAGTGCAATATATGAGTAGAAAACGGTGAGCTGTTGTGCAGTGTACAAAAAGGGAGGGGAGTAATAGCAAGCTACCCCTATTCCACATGCAGTCAGACTGTGTTTTTGTGCAACATCTAAATGAGAATAACACTACAACTTTGAAGGCGAGTTCTCATGGGGATCCTAATGGATAATAAGATGGGAATCTGGTAGAGCTTCGAAGCAGTGAGAGGTACGGTACAGTACTAGAAAGTATTACCTATCACCAATACATTAATCAGAGTGCATGACTCACCAGTCTGCATCACTTGGTAGAATTGCCAATACTCAGTAGTCCCTCCCAGACACAGGGTAGTAGGACACAATGTTTGACGGTTTGACAGACTCAGGAGCAGGGGTCTAAGAACTACAACCTCAAGTCTGTCAAGACGCAGTAATAGTAAAATCAGTTGACTCAGAGTTCCAAACCAGAGAGTAGGAGGGAACTCAGGATTGAAAACTCAAT